TCAAAAGCAAGAAATAAGAATATTTGTTACTCTTAATTTTGGTTTTATTTACTCTCGAAAATGAACACTTTTGGGGACCCTGCAGAAGTATGTCTAGTATTATATCATTTATAATCATAAGAAAGGCAGAGTTTTAATCTGTCAAATGATGTATGATGCTTCATTGTTTTCAGTACAGAGTATTGTCAATTTCTTTTTCAGTTTGAAAGTTTATCTCATGGTGTTCAGGTCAAGCAGCTGAGGGAATTATTTTAAGTCCTCGTATTAGTTAGAAAGCCAGTTAAATTAATATAGTTATAGGACATTGTTTGTTATGTGTGTGTGTGTGTGTTATTATTCTACATTCTTAGCTGTATTATATAAGTAAGCAAATAGTTATTTTTATACTAGTACCATTATTGTAAAAAAATTAGGCTTAAGTTTCATTGGCAACCAACAACAAGAGATCAAAGGTAAGTACTATATTTCTTGTTTTTCATGTATGTTTTTTAATTATTATTGTAAAAGTAACTAAAATATAAAAATTAAAAACTTATTAGGTTAGATAAGGTTATATTAGTTAAGATAATGGGGAAAAAATAATAAAAATTTTCCATGAGGTATGCTTGTGAGCAGTTTGTGCACTACATCATTCAACATGGTAACATGAACTAAGCATTCACCAAGTGATTTACACTTGTGTGGCAGGATTATTAGTTAGACAGCTCAAAAGGCAATAAAATTAAGTATAAACAGATGTAGAATATATTATGAGCCTTAAGCCTATTATTTAGGATGAACAATTCTAGTTTTTGGTTACATTCTGTAGTTGGTCTAGAAAAAAAAAGGTATTTTAGATTTCTTTCTTTCTGTCTTTTCTTTTTTTGTGGGTACAAGGTTGATTTAATCAACTGGTTCCATATAGAGTTAGGGTAAAGAAAATAACAGATTTTAAAGTTTAAAGTTTTACTGAATAAAATGTTTGGCATTTATGTAGAAGGTTTTAGAGGTTATGCAAATGAAGTTTGAAATTTTTCAGATGAAGAAAACTATTTTTAATCCTAACATGAACATCACTTTGCATTTGGAGTAGGCAACAATCTATCTCCACATATTCTCAGACAAATCTTGAGAAAAAATATTTGTGATGTTTATGGAAAGCTTGCCAAATTTTGTGAAAATATGCAAAATATATTAAAAGTTATAGTATAGAAACTCTGATTACTTTGTGGTTACAAGGTCAGTGACATTGACCAACCCTGTATTTAAACCCATGTGGACACCACCAGTGTCTGGCCGAAAAATCTCAATTTACTTATCAGACAGTAACAGCATCCGATAACATTCATGTGTTGTTGACTGAAAACTAATCCAAACCATGTTGTTATCCATCTTTTATAATTAGACCAGAAATTTGATAAGGTATGGTGATAATTATTAGGACATTGTGAAAATAATTCCAACAGAATGTGCAAAAAATTGTGGGTTTAAAGAGTTAAAGTGTGGTTAGATAAGAGACAAAAGAGGTTAAAACTTATTCCTGTCTTAGTTCTACTAAATTTCTCTTCATTTTACTTAATAGAAAAATTATATCATACAGAAAAGATTCTTATATATATATATTTATAAATTATGTCTAATTTACTGTCCTTCATATCTGTGTTAATTATTCAAGTGTTTTCCATTTTTTCTTTACCTATTAAAAGTATGGTGAGTGACCCCAGGTCATCACGTTACATAATATATATATATATAAATGTACGTATTGTATATAGAACCTAACTATGGTATATGTGTGTGTGTGTGTGTGTGTATATATAGATAGAAACATTCCTTACCTCTCTACATTACTAAGAGCTACTAAGGGACAAAGATGCACCAGAAGTAGGAATGAAGGGTGGCAAAATGGTGCAGAGAAGTAAGTATCTATTTGAAATACATTCTCCACTAAGGACAATGTTAATTTCAGAAATACTGCTTCTCTGCATCACTAAGAGCTAGAATCCCACACTGGGGCCAGTGCTGATCAAATAAATTAAGTTTGTATTGTGAATGAGGATTTTGTGATGCAGTTTTATCTTTTGAGATTAATTCATTCAGTAAAATTTGGTACAACACAATTTTTGGTAGAACTACCTGTGGAAACATTTGAAGTAACCAGTTTTTATATGTAGCTTGCCACTTTGTTTACTTGTAAAATAAACTTATAGTTAATATTCCACAACAATATTTTCTTATTTTAGGATTTTAGGTTTCGTCAACTGAGGAGAGTTCGTATCCTATCAGAAGAGGATTGCAAGTTCACTGCTGCTGGGAACTTAATTACGTCCTCAAGTCGATTTGGGTTAATATTTGTTGGTTTTCACAAAGGTACATATTAATCTGTATACTTTATGTAGGGCTGAAAAAAAACAAAAAATATTGTCCATTGCTTAGGTCAAGTGACTTTTTCATTCAAATAACTAAGTTTGATCAAATTATTTTACTTAGGACTGTAGTGTACCCATTGTACTTAATGTTGCTGTTCTTGTTCTTGGAAGGTCTCAGTGTAGAAACCAAAATACTATCCAACTTTAGAAACAGGCAGGAGCAGTCCATTAGAGCTAAAACTTTACTTTGTCTACACTGCCTTAAATACCCCTGAGACAACATGTTTTCAGATTGTATTTTTTTTTTTTTTTGTAAAAATGCACAACTATCTTAGTTGCTAAAAAGCTGCTTTAATCAAAGCATCTCTTATTTTATCTTTTGAAATTATAGATTAAATATTTATTTAAAAAGTATTTTATTCATATGTTCCATTGATACTAAAAACATTGAAACAGTTAAAATTAGACTGTGATATTTAAAGCTGTTTTGATTTCTACTTTCATATATTCCTTTGTGCATGTGTTATTATAATATTTCTCAAAAGGAAATAAAATAAATTTATATGGTTTATATACGATATCATTTTCAATTTCATTTCTCTGTGAAAATTATTTGTTAAATCTTTTTAAATTTTTTTTTGGTAATGCATATTTCATGCCTGGAATGTGTAGTATTTAGTTTCATTGTATTTAGAAAGAGGAAGAAAGTAGACTCCTACAGTTGTGTGGTGTTTAATTTAGGTGTTTTGCTAATATTATCAGAGTAAAAATCTTATTTATTGCTCAACATAATATGATTAAATAAATGTTTTTTCAAAGATATATGTTTGGAAAGAAGTTACTATTCACACTCTTGAAATATATTTATGCTGTATTTTGTTTGAATTTTAGAGCTTAATCATAATTCTTAAGCCTTAACATTTTACCATTGAAATCAAATTAAAATTCAGAAGTATATCAACTAAGATAGATTAATAGGTGTGCAAACAGCTGTCTGATATTGTACTTGCCCAGTGACAGTTGGTATTTAAAAATCGTTCTGGGATTTTCTGTTGTATTTTCCTGTGTAAGTGATATTTTTTGGTACACATGGATGTTTTTATGTATGATTTTAGTTTTTAAAACTACAAAGTGTTTTAAATTTTTCTATAGGATTCAAGGTTTTAAAACTAGATGACATTTTGAGTATTGATGCTGACAAAGATAAGGCTAGGATTGAATGTGAAGAATATCCATGTATAAAAGTGGACTTGCAGAAACAGCCTGTTCACTTGGCTCTTAGCTCGGACAATATGACATTAGCTGTTTGTGTCACCAAGAATGATTATCCTTTTGCCCTAATGTATGATATTAGAAGCTTTGCAGACATGGTATGTAACTTCAAGATTGGGGTATTGAGGGTAATATATATATATGTGAGTGCTTGTTTTGGATTACTAATTACAAAGTTTTTACTTTTTAAGCATGATAACCGTATTTCTGTTCACATAACTGTGTAGCTAGTCACAATTCATCTTTAAAAGAAAAATAATTTTTAAATTCAGTATGTAGAATTGCGTATATTAGAATTTCCTTTTCCAAACAAAAATTAATATTTAACTTTTATATCCTCTCTTAATATGCTTGTCATCTGAAGGTACAAGTTAGTAACAAGCTGGGACAAAAATAATTTGACACGTATACACCGTGGTAAGTCTGTAGGCTTTTAATGCTAGAAACAGTTTCAACACCTGTGGTGAGCAGAACACAGATAGCCCATTGTGTAGCATTGTGCTTAACAACAAATAAGGAAAAGAAATTAGCTGAAATTTTGGTGAAGCTATTGTTGTTATTTTTTCTGCAATGTACTGTATACGCTGAAGGTGCATATTTGCTTACAGGAAAATATGCACATAATCAGTGTGTGCTAGAAGTGATGGGAATCAGTTTAATTCACTAGAATAAGTACTTTATTTGTTCATGAATTAAATTAAGGTCTTTCAGACAAATTGCTTTATGCTCATACTGTATCTTTTTTACACTTGTAATTATGCTTATGTGTATTACTTTGATTTGATACTTGGCCAAGTGGTTAATGTATCAGACTGTTGACCTAAGGTTCCTTGGTTTAAGTTCTGTTACCACAAACAAAAACAGTTGTACTCTATATTTTGGGACCATAAGTGTGTTAAAACACTGATGGTCAAATCCCACTATTAAGTCTGAGAACAGTAGTCCAACATGTGGTAGTGAGTAGTGGTTGACTAGCTGCCTTTCCTCTAATCTTTCACTTCAAATATAAGGACAGCTTGCACAGACAGCCCTCCTGTAGTTCTGTGCAAAATTCAACAAAACAAGGAAACAGTTTAATACTTAAGCTACCACTCAGATAGTCATAGTAAACTATAGCATGTGTTAGCTACAATGAAAGAAAAAGATTGTTTTGATACATATTTCTTATTGATGCCTTTGATACCATATCAGTTTGTCTGGTTATTATATTTTTTCTACTTTTTTCTGTCTTAAACATGTGTTGAGTTTTCTTCTACAGGTTATATACAAATAGTTACACATTCTAAAACATAGTAAGTTTTCAAATGAAGGAAGACAAAGATGTTGTAAAATGCACATTTGCATAAATATCCTCAAAGTTTATTCCACCCTGTCAGTTTTTGTCCTAAACCAAAATTTAGGATTTTATCAGCTAATTCTGCCCAAATGGTCATTGTTCAGCAAAAAAGCACAGACATGCATATGTGATACACATAATTTAAAAGTATTATTTTTGTTCAATACTCATTCTGACAAATCTGTCATACTTCGGCACAATGAAACAATAGTGATGGGTAAGAAGTGTAAAGACAGAATCTGTGTGAAATGTTTTAAAAAGAGCACTAGATGGCACAGCATTAGTGAAAAGACTAACCTCAATAACTGAACCCTTGCAACATAGTTCAGAAAATTCTATATGCACCTGAAATTTAGACGCAGTTTAGATAGTAGTAGAATTGTGGTAAGTACCACATTTATTGATTAGGCAGGTTATTATTATAGGTTCCTGAATTGCATTATTATGTCTTATAAGGCAACATTACATTTGTGTGAAATAGTCTACAGACATAACTGTTAACTACAGAAGATGAGAACCGACACACTACTTGGGAATACACATAAAAGTTTTTAAAAAATGTTTGATTGCTGTTTCAGTAGGAAATATCTACATTTAGTGAACTATAAATTGTATATTACAATCAGTAGTGGATGGAGTTAATGGAGTCAGCATAATTTTTTTTACTTATTGGCATTTATTGTGTAGTAATTTTTATTTTCAATATTCCAGTCTTTATAATTACTACTTTAGAATTTTCATCATGTTAATTTTATTTTAAATAATGACATCAATTTTCTAGGCATGTACTGCACAGCCATTTACAGAAGTTCGTCTATCAGCAACACCAGGAATAACAGTAAGAAACTTAACTTGGAATCCATCAGTTGTTGAAATGTTTGCAGTGTGCCTTAGTGATGGAAGTTTGGGAATTTATGAGCTTTCAGATATGATACTGAAGATAAATGCTGTTCTACCTGCACAGACAAATGTCACAGCTGGTAAGAATATAATTTCTTTAACACAAGTATAGATGAAATTGTAGTTTTTTTATTTATAAAATTATTGGAAAAGTAGAATAAATTGTATGAGTTCTCTTTTCTTCTTGGAAATTGTAACAGAAAGTTTTTTCTTACTGCTTTTTTAATTGATAAGTAGACCTTTCCTGCTCTAGACCTATTTGATATGTAATACCATATAAACGATTGGCAGTATCCTTTTAAGGGACATCTAATGGTCAGCAGATTGGCATTTATTTTGCAGATTGTGTCATGATGTTGATTATTTATTATATTTCAAATTTTGTTGATGGTCAACATGTTTCCACTTGGGGAAATCTTGCTTTACTGATCTTTCGACATTCTTTGAAGAAATTACTATTTAAGTAGATGAAGGTAAGAATGGATTTAGTGTATCTAGATTTTCAGAAAGCATTTTTTAAGGTGCAACATAAAAAGGCTTGTTAAAAAATGATTTCTGTAGGTGTTGGAGATAAGTAGGCTCATTGGATAGAAAAGTGGTTGGAGGGAAGAAAACAGTGGGTTGTTATAAATGGAGTTCAGTCAGACTGGGTTAATATCACAAATGGGGTACCTCAGATCTCATTGTTAGGGCCTTTGTTCTTATTGATTTACATCAATGACATAGATGAAGGAATGGTCAATACATTACTCAAATTGTTGATGGACTTTTTGGTACTTAATGGAGAGAAGGGTAGGGCCAGAGGACACAAATGTAAACTTTGGCAGAGTAGGAGTCATCTTCATCTAAGATAGATTTATTTTTCTAACAGGGTAGTTGGCTTTTGGATTGGTTTGCCTTTAGATGTGGTGGAAGAAGTAACTTTAAAGGAGTGTAAAGGAAGGTTTGATGAATATTTGAATGATAAGGGCTGGCTTTGAGTTATATATAGTTTGGTGGATGTTGAAAGCGTATATTGACCAACAAATCCTTTATTGTCTGTAAATGTTGTAAATCAACACAATACTTAGTGTTAAACAGTACATAACTTGAAGCATATAGCAACTTGGTACTGTAAACAATGTTTCTGAAGTGTATGGTTATGCTTGCACACCCTCGCATGCTTATTTTTCACACAAGAGGTGCTTTTTTCAAGTGCCTTCAGTTCACTTTGTGTCACACGAGTAATTATTTTCTAACCTGTTTGTCACATTTGACATCCATCCAAAAGAAACTCTTAATCCAACGAGGAAGTGTCACTTGTAGAATACAACAAAAATAATGTATTTTTGTAATGCTCAGCTAGTCATTGAATACACATGTATTTTCTTACTTTGTATGTTTCATTCTTTATTCTTGCACTGATAATTAATTCTTGTCACTCAGGTGAAACTCCAGACAGTATGGTTAAATATCAGAGGAGTAAAATGTTATATAAGTACATCATTCAGTATGTTTAGTGTTGAAGGGAAACTACACTATATGCCTGAGGAACATTTGGATTGAATGTTTTATAAATTTGTTATTACATTTTTTTATTGGGGTCTAAGCATGCATTTTATTGCACCCCCCCCCCCATCATTTTCCCATGTTAATTGTTGTTATTATACTACTTATTAGTAGAAATATTTGTACACTAGTTTTTAAACTTCTTTTATTTATAAATTTGTACTTTCAGATATAATTTATATGCTCCTATAGTCATAGTTGTGCCCCCCCCCCAACTCTCAGTGCTCTCTCTGAAAAATAAATATGCTCTATTATAATGCATTCTACGATTTAACAGATATGTAAACTGTGTGGAGAAGAGTCATCTTTTAAGGGCTGTATCACAGAAGTGCAAAATTTTGTTTACCAGCCTTTTTCAAATATGAAGCTTTGTGTTGAAAAAGTTTTCAGTAATGCTTGCAGTTGTGTGTATTTGAATGTAATTGGATCTTAAAGTGGATTCAAACTCGTGTTTTAATGATTTGGATATAGTAACTGTTCATATTGAAAACAATTAGGTTCATTTTTGCAGCTTTCACAATGACTTATATTTTTTATAAAATCATATTTATAATTTCATCAATTATGAAATAATTTGGAATTGTTTTGTATTAAATAGAAGGTGCATTATAATAATTCTGTGTAAGAGTGGATTGTTTCATTTCTTTTATCCAGTCTGTTGGAGTCCTAAAGGAAAGCAGTTGGTTGCTGGAAAGAAGAATGGATCCTTAACTCAGTACAAACCAACACTCCAAGAAGCAAAATCTATAGCTGTGCCACCACTCTTTGAAAATCCAGTATCAGGTATGATTAAACATTTATAAGGACAGTTAGTTTAAATATGATTTTAATAATGACTGAAAACTGTTTGCATAGATGGTGTAACTGATAATTTGGACAAAGTTACAGTATCAGTATTCAGTTTGATATAAGAAAATGTTGCATACAAGATATTTAGTTATAAATTTACAGAGTTAAAAATACTTTAATATGTACAAAATTCTGTATCTAAAACACAACCAACAATAAGAGTTTTTCTTTGCAGACGCAAAAGCATGAATTATAAATTATTCTTAGACTACCTTTGTACATGTTTAATACCAACCTTGTAGCATATTTATTAACCAAATAGATACTGATACATTTATGGTTGGTGTGTGTGTGTGTGGGGGGGTCTTGTAGTTAGTTGAATGAGTGTACTATGTAGCTCCAGTGATGGTTCGTGTAGAACTTGAGGTTTCACTCACTACCAGCGAACACTTATTCTAAATCATTTAACAGAAATATGAAGAACAGAAAATTGTGTCACTTAATTTGCTTTCATTCAAAATAAATATGAAATAATAAGATGAGTTGAAGTTTTAAGAACAAAATGGTTAGAAAATCTAATTGTCAAATTATGATATTGTTCACATTTTTTGTTACAACATACATCACCACCAGCAAAAATAAGTGAATGCACATTGCAATTTAGGCTACTAGATGGCTTTTTAAAGTAGAGTATTGAAAGAGAAGGTGTATATGCTGATTGTTACCAGCACATGGTCCTAAAATATTGATGCATTACATAGAAATATTATGTAACAGGGAGAGTTTGGTTTTAGTTTTACTTAAGAGTGACGTAAATACTTTTTATGATTTTAGATATATTTGAGTAGGCTGATTAAAAGTATGACATTTTTTCTGATAAATATGGTATATGTATAACTAATAATCTATTCATCTCAAGGCTACATCATTTAAACTATATATAGGTACTGAAACAAAGTTTCAATATAAATACACTTATTTCTTAACATGCAAGTTCCATGCAGGTGAACTCAACATCTTATAGATAAAAAACAGTTGTCAATTTTGTGAAGTGTTTATAATTTATGATGAAAAGCCTACACATTACTTTGATACTCAATCAAAATAACATTGTTGGTGATTCCAGACTCTTTCATTCCACCTAAGAACAGTGAGTTCTTCTTCTTCGTTATCTTGCACTAAAATACATTTTCCACAGCAGCATGGGAACTTAAAACATTTTTATGGCTCCCAGATTTTGAATGACAACATTTGAAATGTTCTGTGTTTGATTCTTTGCATTTGCTTCTCAGTGTTAGAAATATCTTATTTCTAGATTGTGTTATACTACAGAAATACAAAAGTGCTTTTCATTTTTAATGTTATTTTTATTTGCTTCACAGTATTGGAGATCAGTTGGCTAATACCCACTGTATTTGCCGTAAGCTTCATACCTGTTGGTAATACAGAAGACAAGACTGTTTCGTTGGTTATTATATCAATTCCTGTAAGTACTGAGTGCTCTGAGTGCAAAGTGATTTTCATGTTAAGATTAAAAGATCTGAAAAATTATCTGAAAAATCTCAGATTTCATTTGCCATTTTAAAAGAGATCTACCTTTTTTTTCTTTCTAAAATGACTTCAAATTGTAACATGAAACTACATTTGTTTTATTGCCCTATGAACCATGTCTAACTAATATTCTTGCCACTCAAGTTGTAAATTACACGGTAAACATGCAGTTCACGTTATGGTATCGAATTACATAATGCATGAGCTACTTGCGAGTTGCTCGCAAGTGTACTTTGTGAAAGTGTTTTTATTATTACTTTTTATTTTACCTAATCTAACCTAAAAAATTTATCATTTTTATATTTTAACTCTCTCTACACAGGTTCGGTTAAATTGACCGACCACGTGACCACTTTGTACTTGTTTAAAGTCATTATAGTTTTGATACTACTAACGTTTAATGTAGTATGTATATCTTCATAAAATTTGGCAGACTTTCAGTAAACATTATAGGTCTCTCACATACAAAAGGTCAAATTTTTTAATGAAGTATTTTTAATAAACTAAAAAAAGATGTGTTCATGAATGTACCCACCCTTTTTTTTTACTAATCTGAGTGCAAAATGTTTTTCATGTTAAGATTAAAAATACTATTCTTCATCTCCAACATCTAGAATTTCATTTGCATAATATCGTAAAACCTCCTAAATACATTTCAAACATTTGTTTTCAGTAAAAATGTATTTTGTGTTATTTTCTCAACCCTAACTCTATACAAGGTTGGTCAATTTGACTGACCTTGTATCTACCAAAAGAAATTTAAGTAAATCTAAATTCCCCTTTTTTTTCTAGATTGATTTTAAATTGTAGCATGAAACTACATTCATTTATCTTAAGTAGCTTTAAACTCATAACAATATACATCTATTTACACTTGAATTTTGTTGTTTTATTACCCTTTGAACCATGTCTAACTACTATTTGTGCCATTATGTTGTAAATCACTTGGAGAACATGGACACTACACTATTGAATTACATTACCCACGAGCTACTCTGAGCTGCTTGCATGCATGCCTCATGAAACATTTTTATTATAGTATTATTATTATTTATTTTACATAATGTAACTTTAACTAACCTAAAGAGATTCCTATTTTTAAATTTCAGTTACTTTTATAATAGTGGATAAAGAATAACACATGAAAAACAAGAAATAAAGTACTTACCTGAGTTTTCTTTTTTTTGCTGTCGACTGTCGATGACACTTAACCCTACTTTTTTTAACTAATGGTAGTAATGCACTAAATAATTTTTATTTAATTAAATAATTTACCAAAGAACATAGAACAGTATGCAAAAAGCAGACAATGTCCCATAACTCTCATCATGTTTCTGCCTTTCTAACTATGCAACATGAGCCATTAAAAATTCATCTAAGCTCGTCAATGTGTTTCCCATAAGAATAAAGTTTGAACTGAAGTGAAATAGACAATTCTCTGTACAGAAAACAACATAGTATAATGCATCAGTTGATAGATTAAAAACTTGGCTTTCTATTGGTTATAAATAATCTAGTATTTAACGTCAGAGAGAACTATTGGCAATTTCCGAAAGAGAAGGTTTGACAGGTGCATGTGGCTAGAGGGGCCTGATTTTCTATTTTATGGCTCTGTAACCAAATTACATTGAAGTTTATAAATATTATGCATTGTCTGAGTAATGACAATATTATAATGAGTAATATACATTAAATTTCATACTTCTGGGAGGGGTGGTAAATAAAAGAGGGGATACTTAAAGAGCAAATGCCACAATTCTCACCCTAGGGGAATATCAAGTTTTTTTTTAGATATTGACTTATAAAATTAAGAACTTAAAACTTATATTAAAATTTGGATTATTAGCTATGTTTTGATACCAAGTTTATTAATATACCATAACAAGAAAGTGGTTTAATTAAAATTTCAATGTAACTTTCTAAACCTCTGTGATATGTGCAGGAAAAAAAGATGCCCATAGCAAAAATGTTAATCATAAATTGTTTCTTCATTAGTCTCTCCTTTCAGATGCGTTAGCTTAGGGGATTCTCTCTCTGAGAATTGGTCTGATCTATATGGCTATCATCATCTGTTTCATATCCAGAGTTTTGGATATGGTTTGTTACACTCAACTCAATGCTGGGTTCGGCTCATTGTTTCATAGTGGCCTGCTTAACTTTATTCTTTGTCTGTTAGTGACAACCTTTTTCCCACTTTACATTTTTTGTTATGACAACCATACATGTTTTATTTTTCATCTTGACATGTCTCATCTGTTACTGTTGTCAAGTTCTCTGTCCAGTGAATGGGATTCTCTGTAAAAGATTATCATATTTTAGTCCTATTATTCTCTTTCACATTGTAGATTTATCAACAAAATATTTCTGCCATGTCTCTTCCCACTCCTCAGCTAGCATATTTCTTTGTTTTCTTAATTCTATATTATGGTACCCAGAATCAACAATAATGTGAACAAACATTTACATTGTGCCTTTGAAATTGAAACTTGTTTACAAAACTAGTGATTATGAACTTTCTAGCCTAACAAATAGTGTTGAAATAGTCATGCAGATGATTTGTAGCATCATGACTGTCTAAATCTGACTTTCAAGACATTTAAGGTCAGTAAACTTTCTCCATATAGGAGTTGGTTTAATAAGAAAGTAAATCATACATAAAACTACATTTTGGTATCACCTGTATTTTAAAATGAGGAAATGTTGCTGGGCCTGTGGGGAAGTTGATTTATGCTGTTTTGTGATAAGAAAAGGCCATTTGTTTAGTACTTATTTTGAAAACTTGGATAAATTGCATTTTGTATTTTCCTACGAGTTTGAGTTTTTTTAAGCTAATGTACTTCATTTTTTATACTGGCAGTATTTGTATCATAATTTTCACATCATTTCATGTTATTTGTATAACTGAATAAGTAATTAAGCTTTCAAATTATTTGATTTTACTTCTTTCTAATTTTCTCTATTTATAATTTATTTACTGAGTAGTTTGTAAAATTTTTAGAAAGGATCCCAACCCAATTATATAAACTTTGGAGATGTATGTCTAGAGGGTGGTGATCAACAGGCACCATGTTATTGGATGTTTCATCAGCCAGACTGGTTAGTACAGATTCACACTTTAAGCTAATAATAAATATTTAGAGTATAATAATGAAAATCTAAAACCATAGTAAAATCACCCACAATGACTAAGCTCTTTGTAATTTTGAGTTTATACATATATCTAATCTAGACTTTGTAGTCAGTCCGTTACTTGAAATAGTTATGTATTATGTGGCTGGGACTTTCAAATCATAAAAACAGGACACACTAAAATTTTTTTTGGATTTTAAAACTGGGACCACCCCTTTTTTAAGGAAAGATTATAAACAATCATTTATGCTTATAATAGATATTATCATAGTGGTCACGGGCCCAGCACCGTAAGGTGGTTAGGGCACTCGACTTGCAATCTGCGGATCACTGGTTCAAATCCCCATCATACCAAATATTCTCGCCCTTTCAGCCGTGGGGGCGTTATAATGTGATGGTCAATCCCTCTATTTGTTGGTAAAAGAGTAGCCCAAGAGTTGGCGGTGGGTGGTGATGACTAGCTGCTTTCCCTCTAGTCTTACACTGCTAAATTAGGGATGGCTAGTGCAGATAGCCCTCGTGTAACTTTGTGCAAAATCCATAACAAACAAACAAACATAGTGGTCACTAATGAAAAAAATTGCATCCTGGATGCAAAATATCTCAATTGGACAGAAAAAACTCTCCCTGCATTCATGGAACACATTAATAAAGTAAGATATGTCTTAACCCTTTCCAACTTGGAAGGGTGGTTTTTGCAGAACACAGCAAAGACTTAAGACTTCAATGGAAGGGCCTCATGTCAAACATTCAAACTATAGTTATGCTATTGAAATCTTTACTACTGCTTTAAATATGCCAAATAACTTCATTTGAGAAGTGTGGTCTTAGGGCTGTTTAAAGAACATAGCAACATTGAGGACATTTTCCACTGTGTTAGTGTTTGCTTTGTTTATTTTTGATTAAATATGACTGAAAATAAAATTTAAATCTGGGTTTTAAGAAATGAAATATATTTTAATAAAAACCAGTTTTACAAGTTTTATGTTTTTGTGAGTAGGTACTATTAAATTACAAAAAAAATTTTTAATTATTTACGTTGGTGTAGAGTATTGGAATTTTTAGAGTTCAGATGTAAATCAGTTTTGAAGCATCATTTCATTTTCCATTTTTAGGCAAGGTATTCTACACATACAAAGTACTTGTTTACACTAACAATAGGATTAGTGAAGATTTAAAAACCTGTTCTGAATAATCACATCCCAGTTTGTGTGTAAAGACTGACATTGTTGCTCTGAATTTAGAGCTTATGTAGAATAATGTCTTTTACAGGGGCATTCTTATATGTGCTTCCAGCAAGGCAGTTGAAACAGCTGTTTTAGGTTGTAAACCAGACAACAAGGTAATATAAAAGATCTTATAGATGTTATGTTATAAAGTTTCTCTTTGCTTTGAAGAGCATTATTATGCACTATTGTTTAATGTTAACAGTTAAAATTTAGTCTTATTGATTGTGTTAAAGTATTTAACCCAAAATATTTACGAGTTTCTTTCATTTTGAACTTAAATCTTATGATGATGATAAAGAAAAACTGTAGAATTCTTTATGAAGTATGAGGCATATTTTAATAGCATAAATATTGTTCTAAATGATCTTACATGTAAAAAATTAACATACAAATGTTTTGTAGATTTTTTTAACGGTATTTTACTAAATTTTTTTGTGTTGTTGGACTGATTATTCATGCAATATACATTAAAATTATTGTAACAAAATTATTTAGATTTTTTAATACCTACTTTTTCATATTTGAGAAGAAACTATATACTTTCATTATTTATAAAGGCAAGTAATGTAAATGAAATATGTTTTGTACGTGTAATTTCATTTTATCTTTTCAGGCTTTTTGGGAACAATGGGTTTTGGATGGTAGTGGACGTGCAGAACTTCCCCTGGTGAAAAATAATGAGACTTACCCATTAGGTCTTACGGTAATAACATCTGCCCAAAGACAAATCACAGTCAGTAAGTATAAATCTCTTCAGCAAGTTATGTAATTATAATATTTTCCAAATTAGTCCTTGCACTCAGTAAGCATCAAGTTTTCCATCAGAGTTTGAAATGACAATGTGGTAAAATTGTAAGAATTTTGAAATTGCCTACCAGGTTTCATAATGACAGCACTTGTGAAGTGACAGAAATAATTAATGTGTTTATCATTAGGTCTTGAATTTATAGTATTTCTTGATTTAGATTGTAGCCAATGCTCTACAGGTTTTATTGTAATAGTCTGTATGCAGCTATAAATTGTTGTTAATAAATGTGCCCATCAAATCTGATATGCCCCCCCCAGTGGCACAGCGGTATGTCTGCAGACTTACAAATGCTAGAACCCGGGTTTCGATACCCGTGGTGGGCAGAGCACAGATAGCCTATTGTATAGCTTTTTGCTTAATTAAAAACAAACAAAAACAAGTCTGATACTGAACATTTCAGTAAAAGTAGATAGTAAACTTTATTCTTTCAACAAAATCTAAGAATGATAATCTTTATAACATTATAGATCATAACTAGTAAAATTAATTTGTTTTTTAATTTTGATGTATGATAATTTTGTAAATACTGATAGTATGTTTCTGAAGAATGATGCCAATGTCTTTAGAAATGTATGTATGTTATGTGGGTGGCACATACAAAGTCATGTAAAAACTTAAGTGGCTCACATGTACATATTTTTAAAAGTTTGTGTGTTGTAACTGTATATGTTCAAGTACCCGATGATTAGTATGTACTGGGCTTTAACAAAAGATCATTATGGAATAATAAGCAAAATAATTAAAACTGATACAAAAACAGCAACAACATGATAACATTTAAAATACAAAGAAATTGTCCAAAGGAGAAATGTGTGGTAATATTTCAGATGAACATTAAAGAATGTTTGGCCAAAGAGCTGGGCATAGCCTAGTTGTGATCTTGCTGACCAGAAGTTCATAAGGTCCAAGGCTTAATTTGCAAAAAGCTGTTTATAAAAATTCCACAATTTCAGCTACTGGGACATTATATCTGTTATAGCCACTCCCACTACTTGATTAAGAATAACAGCGTGATAGGTAGCAGGTGCAATTGATTGGTTGATTTCCCTCTGGTCAGTGATTCAAAATTATGGATGGCTATTCCTGAATCTTTGGGTGCAGTTTAGCCAATGTGTTGCATCAGGTGCTATTCAAGTTGAAAATACTAATACCTTATTGATCAAAGTATCCACCATATTTCTCTTTATTTTTAAATAATTTTAATCTTTCTCTTTTTTTTTCAAAGTAAAACCTGTAAATAGCTTATTTTCTTCAAAAGTTTAAAAACAAGTGTTGCTGAATCATTACAGGATATAAATCAAAATGATAATCCTTGGATACAGCTCCAATGGGTAATGAAGAAAAACTTTAATATAAGTTTAACATAACAGTAAATGTACAACATTTCAACAAGGTACCCAATGATGACAAAACCTTGTTGAAACGTTGCATATTTGCTGTTATGTTAAACTTATATTAAAGTTTTTCTTCGTTACTCATTTAAGCCATCTCCAAGCATTATTAGTCTCAAAATGGGTTCCTCGTCACCAAAATGACTAATAATTTTTGAAACAAAATTCTTAATTTATTAGGTGATACCGAATCCTATCCTCCAATGCCAATTCTGTTTCTTCTGTCCACAAATGGGCTATTGTGTCCATTTCACATGCTGAACACAGCAAATGGTGCTACTAGCCAAGTTAACCCTCCTGAAATACTGCTGAAAGAAGGTGAAAGAAAACCTAAAGGTTAGATGAAATTATTTATACCAACAAGCTAGCCTTGTACTTATCTTTAGAGGCTAGTCTTTTGTTGATGTATATTTTTCTCTGTTAATTCAATTTTTGCTATTCTTTGCTGAGAGAAATAAGACTAATTTTTAGTGTAGAAAACATTATGATTAAATGTTATTCTTTTCTATTTAAATTTAACATTTTGTTTTTTACTGCTTAAACAAATTAAATAAGAACACAACTTTATTTTGTTTGTGCTATTCAATTTAGTAGTATAAAATTTAAAACAATAAAATTAATAAGTTGTGAGATTTATAACAAATTTTTGTTTATTGGTATTAGAAAAAATATTTCAAGGAACATTTTTAGAGAAATGTTTGGATATTACAGCTTCTTTTTCACAGTTTCCTAAGAACAAAGCATTTGCTTTTAGCTTAAAAGTCTGCAATAGGCTTCTTGTGATATTTTTATTAGCTAGATTTAATAACATGAAATTGTATATTAGCCACAGAAGAAATAAAGAAAATACAATAATATTGTAATAGACTAAAATAATAAAGTTATTATATTATCTGAAATCCCCTGGAATGTGGGACAGTAAATTTATAGTGTACAATATTAAATCCAAGATCTGAGTCTCTGTGGTGGACAAAGTGCAGATGGCTCATTGTGTAGTTTTGCATTAAATAAATATGGCCTGAAAAAGTAAAAGCTTGTACGCTCATATGTTAGCTTTTTTTTGTTTACTGTGTCTTAAACTCATCATTGTGTGCAGAAAAATTATACTTATACTAAAATATAAAAATACATGGTTCTTTTGTCTGGAGATAAATCACTTAATGAAAAAAAAGTTATCAAGACATATTTAAAGAAATTAGCCAAAACAAAACTACTGTTTTACTCAGCTTTTTTTTTCTTTTTTTTTAATATGAATTCATGTATTCAGAAAGTTTAGAATTTTTTCACAAACATTAGTATCTTCTTAACTTTCCACTTTGCCAATTTGAGCAGTCAAATAATGGGGAAAAAAACATGGTCTCCCACGTGATTGCTACTCTGAGTCCAAGTCATAAATTTAAACTGTGCATTTTGTGGATCTATACAAATCTATAAAGTTTATTTAATGAAGCCATTAAACTTATGATAACTAAAATAAATTTAAGAGGAGTTGATTAAAATGTTGTAACATTTGTAAAACTAGAAATACTTTTTTGTTTTCTAAGGCTTATCTTGCACATGTAATTCTGTTGATGCTAACTTTATTGGTTTAAGAATAATGTTTTTTGGTACAGAGGCTTACTTGATAAGATATGATCATTGTCTGTTTATATCTTTTTGCATTTTTTTTACAAGTACAGTGATAGTCACTTCAAATTTTAAATTATCACAGTAAACTCTGGAAGTAGGGAAACCAAGAAAGAAGTCTTTTGGCTCTGTTAAAAAATTAAAGAATATATATTTATCTCTCACACCATGACTATGGAGGCTAGATAGAGCTGGGCATTTAGTTGTATTTGTTAATCAATTAATTGATGGCCCCAATGATTGATTAGTATAGTATTCCCCAACCCATGGTACATACAAGTAAAAAAGTTGGTGGCAGATGATGCCAGCCAGTTGCCTTCTCTCTTGTCAGCAGTTCAAAATTATTGACAGAGTCAGATAGCTTGAATTGCTTTCAATAACAAAGAAAGTTTGTTTGCAATATTTTGATTACTTGGATAGTTGGAATAATCATAAACCCTAATTTCAATTAGTTGATCATTTTCATGACAAATAATTTAATCCTTGCTTTAATCATAATTTTGATTGATTTATGGAATAATCAAAAACAGTAATAATTGGAAACATTAATTTTGATTAGTTGGTTAGCTTCATGACAATTGACATAATCAGAATTTTGATTGATCAATTGTTGGAGTGATCAAAAACAGTAATATTTGGAAAACATAATTTAAGTTAATTGATTTAATCATAATTTTGTTTAATTGATTAATTTATGTGATACTAATCAATGAATTACTACTCATTGATAATGATTATATCATTTAACCTAGCTCTAAGGAAAAGCAGTCATTCTGACTGATTTTTATGGATCAGTAGATATGAAAAATACATTTTTAGTTATCTTTAGTTACTATTTATCCACTTACAATAGTCTTAATTTTTTTTTTCATGATCGTATTTTCTTCTTACTTTAAGCCAGAGATCTATGTAAAGATCGTTAGTAATTCTTTGATTACAAAATATAATGTTTTCTCTCTTTCTGTTTCAGCTATTTCTCAGCCAAGTAGTGTTTTTGCTTCAACACCTGTCTTACCTTCTTCAAAACAAACTATGACCAACTTTACCACTCCAAAAAGCAATCTTATAGAAAAGTAGGGATTTTCATTATTTAATTGTTCTAGAACTTATGTTTAGATTTGTGTACTGTCTTTGAAAATTTATGCACTTTTTGTAACACAGATAGTGTGAATATGTATCTAACTCTCAGTAATTGAACCAGTACATGGAACAGTTTTTATCCTAATTTTGGTTAAGTGTAGCTTTGAAATTTCTTTTACTACTGATATTTAAAAGTTAGATCTTTAGCAAGCCACTCATAAAGTGAAACACTTACATTAAACTTAAATAATTAAGTTTTTAATTCATTTTAATTTTTTTTTAAGTATTCAATCAAACTATGCCTGGACAGACACCATTAGTTTCAAGTTGCACTGTTCAACAACACTCAAGTGTTCCTATTGAAAGTGGGCAACAGAAACCTTCATTTTCTTATACTGCACAGCAACAGTTAACAGTTCCAACTGGGGATTGCCAGCAAAAGCCATTTACCCTTACTAGTCAGCAGCAGCTACCGGTATCAACTGGTGGTAGTCAGCAGAAGACTATGTTTGTTTTTGGGGAGGGGCAGCAGTTACCTGTCACTTGTAGTGTTAGTCAACAACAACAAACTTTTCCATCTAGTCTTGTTCAACAAAAGACTCTTTCAGAGAGTAAGGAGCAGTGGCCAACAGCTCCAAACAATCATACTCAACAAAAGACACAATCTATTTCTGACAGTGGTGAGCAGTGGACAAAAGTACCAACCAGTAATGATTGCCAGGTACCTGTTTTATCGACCCAAGTTAACAGTGGGACAGTTGTTAGACCACTGTTTCAACCAAGTAGTGGGTCTTCTTCACAGGCTGTGAATAAATCAATGCTAATTCAAGGTTGGTTGTATTGAAGTGCTTTAGTAGCTGCTATTATGTTATTGGAAATGTAACTTTTTTGCTTGTAATTTTCAAAATACATTTTTGTATCAAATTTAATGCATAATATTTAGATATTCTTTTTTTTCTAAATGATTTTGTTGGTGTTAACCAGATTATGCATACATACTATTAGATATTTGATAAAATGTGGCCTAAATATCTCTTGCCAATTATAAATTAGCTGTACTACAATTTTACTAATTTTGCTTCCACATTTGGATTTCAAAAAAAAATTATATAATCTTCTAGATGTGTTTGTGTTTGCTTAACACAGTAGCCTAATCTAGGATACGTACAGTTTTTTCACATAGAATAAGGTTTTTTAGGAGATAAATGATAACATATTTTGAAAAATATTTGTGAAATATCCACTAAAATTTCATTCAAAATAAAATTATAATTTAAATGTTGAGATTTTAAATTTACCTTTGATTTTGATGCAAGTTTTATTATCATTTGTTTTGGAGAAAGCAATTTGAAAATAAATCAAAACTGCTTGCCCTAATTTTCAATCTTTACCCCCTGTTGTTTAAGGGGACAGAAATCAATAAATTTTTCACTGGCACAGATTTGGCTTGCCAGTGAAAGGAATTAAGCTGCAAATCTGTAAATTTTTCACTAGGCCATTGTTCATACTTAGTATAGTATTTAGTAAATTAGTAAAGAAAGGATGTTGATAAGTTTTAGGCATAAAGTAGAATTATATAAATACTATCTATTTGTACTAGTTTAAAGCTTTATACAATTTTTTACTTCACCATTTCTATTAAAAAACAAGAAAAAAAACCTACCACATGATGTCATTGAGTCTACTATAATGTGTGAAAACTGGCTTTCAGGTCAATGATTACATGGGTCATATATTGACATAGTAAATAGGTATGCTGTGTAGTGATTTTATTGTATTATAAATCATAAATTGGTAAAGAAAAAAAATCAATTTATATTTTATAAGGTCTCAAGGCCATGTATTTGAAGTGTTTGTGTTTCAGATATGGTGACTTTTATGAGTTATTAATTTTTTATTAATGCAGGGTCAAATTATACAAGCTAATGGGTTTAAAAGCCTTGGATTGGCATAATAAACATGCATATTAACATTTAGAAATAATAATAAGTGATTACTCAGAAAAAACTCAAAAACTTCTTTCTTGAACTAGAAGGTGAAACTGAGTAGGTCATTGTTGCCATGCGAGCATTTGTTTAACATCAGTATACTGTCACAAAATACAAGTTATGTAGTTGATCTTGAGAGACTGTATGGAACTGAAAGAAGATACATGTGAAAGATTATATAACTTGTAAAGTTTCAACATATAAAATGGTGCAACAAATCATCTCACAACTATCAAAAATATAACCATAATTTTTTTTATAGGACTTAATTTATATTATATATAAAACAAGATTGTTATAATTCTGTTTGAACTTCTTTTGAGCTCTTGCCATTTATTCTTCCCATGTGTATGCACACACACAGCATATGTGCATGCAGACATTCTTTTGTTAGAGTGGTAAAAGATTGCAAGGATGAAATGTTTATTTATGATATATTGAATATTTATCAAATGTTTCAAAGATTTGTTTCATTATTTGTTAGAAATCTTTATTATGCTGTATTTATCATGAATAGTTTACTGTATGTTACAGTTAGTAATATAGAAAGTTGAATATAATTAAAGAACTATTTCATGTTGTATAAACTATGCACTGATGAAGATTCATTTTTGCAATATTTGTATGGCAGAACAAATATCTTTTTATAGTTTGTCTCTACTATTAAGTGTTTAATGTCATATATTAAGTTTTAATGATTGATGTCTTGGCACTTTTGGAAAGCAATGCATCATTGGCATAAAAACCACAATCATTCCAGCCCTAAATTTGTTTTTTTTTTTCTAGACCAGAAAAATTCCAACCTATCATTTGATGTACAAAACACATCAGAAAAGTTGCCAACACTGGTATCTTCAAATGTATCTGATGTTAAAATTACTAGTACACTTTCATCTACTGTAGAAACATCTAATGAGGTAACTATACAATTTTTCACATTGAAACTAATAATTTCAAGTTAAATTCTTTAGTGTAACTTATGTAGAAGTGCTGCTTTTGGAGGGGGGGGGGATATATTCATATATGGATATGTAAAATTGTCTGGTAGGAAGCATTTAAGATCATTCAAAAATAATACTATAATTGAGTGAGGTAAATAATTGGTATATTTCCTAAGATGAAAAGTTATTTAACTATCGTGTTTTCTGAGATGAGAAAGTTAAGTGAGTAACATGTCCTCCTGAGATGAGAAAGTACAGTGAGTAACACGTCCTCCTGAGATGAGAGAGTTCAGTGATAACGCGTCCACCGAGATTAGAGAGTTCAGTGAGTAACGCGTCCACCGAGATGAGAGAGTTCAGTGAGTAACGCGTCCACCGAGATGAGAGAGTTCAGTGAGTAACGCGTCCACCGAGATGAGAGTTCAGTGAGTAACGCGTCCTCCGAGATGAGAGTTCAGTGAGTAACGCGTCCTCCGAGATGAGAGAGTTCAGTGAGTAACTGGTCCACCGAGATGAGAGAGTTCAGTGAGTAACTGGTCCACCGAGATGAGAGAGTTCAGTGAGTAACGCGTCCTCCGAGATGAGAGAGTTCAGTGGTTAGCATGGCCTGAGGCAAGAGAATTAAATGGTTATTTTATTGTTTTACAAGTGTAATTTTTAATAATGTTGTGTAGGTGAGGCAGTTTCTTCTTGTGTTTTGGGTTAAAACGTAATTATTGTGTTATCAAAGCATTAATTTTTAGTAAGATGTGAAATACAAAGTGAAAATGTTAATAGTTAAATACATTTAATACTATAAATTTGAATTTTTGCTAAATTTTCAGCTTAAAGAAAGAGAAAAACATGCAGCTGAAACCTACAAAGCTGCTATATTAGAAGAGGTAAGCTGCTTTTGCTGTGAATTTAAAGAGTACTAAATCCTCTAGGATATATATCATTCCTTATTGTACTATCTTTATCATGTCTTGTAAAATGGGAGATCTTATTTAGAAAGATCCCAAGCAGATATTCAAAATAGATTTTTTCTATAAAAGTATTTTTTTGTTTTTACTTAGAGATTTGAAATTTCATTATGTTATAGACTATTAAGTTACTTGAATACTATCAAAACTAAAGCTCAGATATGTTGATAAATATTTAATTTAATTAAAAGAAAATACTTCCACATAAAATCAGTTGAATGTTTTTACCTCATTAATCTGTAATTCTTGAAATATTTTTTATTTTGATGAAAAATTGCATGTACATATGCAAAAAATGTTTTCTTGCTAATTTATATATCTTGTTTTAGATTGATCTTAAAAAATTGAGTTATCTTACACAGAGTTCATAGCTCAAAAAATTGGATATGTCTTTCATAGTTTTTCAAGTTTCAATAAACTTCAAAAGTTGCTTGTTTTTGACTGGCTTTTCCTCCTCATAATAATACTATCATTCTATGCTGTTTGATATGACAACAACGAAACACTTGTGTTATAGGTCTTGAATTTATGAAATAATCATGTACCACATTAAATGGAAGTAGAGTTTGAGCAAATATGATATCATATTTTATATAACCTCATATGACATGTTGTGATGTGGAAATTAATGTAAGCTTTGCAAATATGAGTTTGGGCAAATATGATATCATATTTTATATAACTTCATATGACATGTTGTGATGTGGAAATTAATGTAAGCTTTGCAAATACGTGATTACACTTTTTTGTAACAAACAAAATTGGTATAAGGAGTTGTATATAGTTGAATAGGTGTATTTGCAAATGTAATGTCACACATTGAGTATCCTGCTGATTCTCCTTCTTTCTGAAAATATTTAAGGTTAACACCACTGGAAAAAGTAGACATTTTCATAAAGGAATTAAAATGTTTAGTTTTTTTTCTATTCTATGATTTTTTTAAAGCAAAAACATCTGTGAGAAATGTGAAACATTACTATAAGGGAATTAAAGTGCTTAGTATTTTTTCTGCTCTATTATTCTTGTATGTTTCTAATCTTTGTATGTGATTTACTATCAGTGTATCTATATTGAGTTCATCAGTTTTAGGTGTTTTCATGTAGTGTGGTAATAGTCTCCTGGAAAGTATCTGCAAGATTTTTTTTTGTGCTCCCTGTTTATGGAGGACTTTATTTTTTATGAAGTTTCTCAGTTAAAAGTTTTGAGAAGAAATACATATGTAGGCTAACTAGTTAACTTTGTTTACAAACTGTTTCAGATCAAGGAGTTTCAGTTAGAACTAACCAGCTGCTGCAAACGTTTAAGTAAATGTCAGTTTGAAGTAGGGAAAAAGGAGGAGATGGGAGTTTTATATGAGAAAACCCAAGAAATGGAAACCTTTTGTTCGCAAATGAAGGGTACAATGGAGGTGTGAAATTTTCAATGTTTTTATGACATATCACTATCTTTAAATATGTAATTTATTGTCTGTAGATTTCAGTATTAATCTTAGAATTATACTAGTCCAGATGGATACCATTGTCTTTTTAAGCAGATTTTTCTAAACTAATTATGCATCAGCTTGCATATGAGTTCTTGACTCTACTTGTTACAGGATCCATAATAACATACAAGTTATGCAGAAAAAAAGTAAACAAAAAATTACCAACAGTATTGCATTTAATTCTGCTAATTACTGATGGTTTTCCTGTATATTTTATTTGGCAAATGAGTGATTTCACACAAATTCCAAGTCATTTCTTTAGAGTGAGCATTGTAAAGCATAAAATGACTCAATATGGTATAATATGTGAATTCCACTGGTTTGGACATCATTTCAACAAAATCACAGTAGTTATAAGACCATAGATAAAACCTTATTTCAAAACCAGAGCTAATATAGTAATTGGTCAATGTCAGTTTATGATGTTATTGCATGACTTTCAAAGGAACTTTTCCACAAATATATATATATATATTTTAATATTTAAAACTAAAATAAACTTATCAATAAACTTTATCTTTGTGAGTTAGCAATGAGTTTACAAACTTATGATGCTAAAGTCCAGAATCCAATTCACCGTTTTGGACAGAACCAAGGTAACTCATTGTGTAACTTTATGCTAAATCGACAGCAATATTTGTTCAACTTAAAATCAAAATATGAATAGTAATGATTGATTTTTATCATTACAATATTTTCTGCAACTGAAATTAACTTAAATTTAATTGATATTACATTTATTACAAACAAATTGTATTACTGTGAAAGTTAGTGCAGAAATGTCTTTGGCATGCTTTTTGTAGAGTCCTAGTTACATGTGTTTTCACCTCTAGTAATTTAATAACAAAGCCTGCAGTCTGTCTTCACTTGAAACATGCTTGATATAGTAAATAGGCCAGAACTATCTTACTAAAATACATTTTTTATTCAAGAATCAAACTTTGGGGATGTTAGTAAATTTTATGTTTAAAATTATGATTTTGTATATTTTTAAACAAGAATTAATTTTTTTAGATACAGTAACTGTTGTTTCAAGGGTATTTTACGTAGTGTAGACAAAGAATAGAAGCTTAAACATCATTCCACTGTAGAAACAGGCAGGAGCAATATAATTAAAAAAAAGAAAAACTACTTCTAGGTGTAAGAACTACATGAGTGTAAATTTGATTTGAAGTATTTGTAATCATACAGAGTAATAAATGTTAATTTTTTTTTTTATATATGTATACATATAATCCGGCAGTCCCTTAACAGTGATATACACAGCTTGAAAAGTCTCACTTTGGAATGCTTTGCTATGGTTGAAGAGGGTCGATCCAGAAATCTTCGAAATAAAGACCCAAAATACATATCACTGCTGAGGTCGCGTGACCTTGACCCTTTCAGCAATCGCCGTCTCCAAGAAATTCGCCGATTCCAACAGTATTTTGAGACACAGCTGAATGAAATCAATAGACAACTTGATCAAGAATGGCATGACTTTTTAGGCAACAAGAAACATCAGTCAAGGTTTGTTATAACAGTCACTGTAGAACACAATAAAAGAAAAATAAATGTACATAAAGTCAGACATTAATAAAATAGGTTGCAATCAAATCTCTCTCTCTCTCTTTTTTTTTAAAGCTGGTGTAACACTTTAAAATTGTGGAGTTTTATTGGACTTTTAGACCTAGCTTTAGTCATAATACATATTATTTCTTTTTTTTTTTAAGACTAGAAAGAAACTCCTTACAAAAGATTCCTTTAATTTTTCAGCTTATTCTTTTATTCAACACTTTTTGTAATCTTATTTTTCAAAAAAAAAAGTTTCAGTACCACAGAACTTCCATGGAATGTACAAATTTAATGAAAGGTATCAATAAATTATACACAAAATGTGCATTATTGGATACTATAGATAAAAGCTGAGAGATTGGTGGTCTAATTGTGAATGAATGTTTTTGTCTGACAGAGTTGCATTTAAATGTAAATTGAGTATATTATTAATAGAATATGCTTGTAAGTATAGCAGTTAGTATTTTAGTTACATTTTAATCCTGTAAAAATAATTGTTTTAGATTCTAATTGGATGTTAAAGATCCTTTCTTATTAGTAACAAAAGGGGGTATGTTCATTTAACAGTTTTCTTGACAAACATACAGCTACTTAATTGTTTTTTGTTGCTTTTTTCACATACCACTAGTCTAGCAGACTTACAGTATGAAACAAAATGTGCAATTTTGAATTAAAGTAAAAGAATTTTTAAATGTATATGTGGAATTTTTGTTGATCAGTTCAAAATCTATTCAACCTAATATATAATGTTGAGTTTATCTTTTTAACAGTGTTTAAAGTCTCAAATTTTGCATATAGGTCAGTTTGTAATGAATTTTTGTATGCTAAATCACATGCTAGGGCATGGCTGTTTTCTTTGCATATTCTTATTTCAAGTTTGGAAGTATAAAAATGAAATGTGTGACGCATTCTATTACCAGATTTTAGGCATACATTTTCTCTGATGTTTCATAAATAAAGTAAATTTCTAGAATTATTTGTAGTGTATTTCTTACTTTTAAAGATCTTCAATTAAATTATGTTGAAAACAAATGTTTTCACTTTGTCCTATACTAACTCTAACCATACTTCACCTGTTATAAATTCTGTAAACTGTGTTTTTTATAATGTAAATAACTTATAGTTACATATTTTTGTAACCTTCTCAGTTAAGGTTGTAAGCTGTGTTACTAAGAGAATGCCCCTCGATGTGGATTCCTGTACGTGATGAGGGGACCT